CATATATATTTACTTACTATTTCAAAATGTCAAAATTCAACATCATTCCGATCATTCCCCGCGGAGAAGAGCAGCGTTTGGGTGGAGATGAGCGGTTCTCAATAGGGGGTTCAGTGTCCAATTTGTAGTGCTGGTGTAGTCTCTAGTTTTCCTCTTCGTTAGTCCAGGTTTAGTCCTGGTTTGTAGTGCCTATAGTTTTCAACACAAACATGCTTTTTCCGACAAAAAAGTGACAGAGACGACCACCTTCTCTCAACCAATCAGCTCTCAGCTCAAAGAGTCAAATAATAAGTATGTAAAATATAACTTGTTTCTAATAAGACAAATATAGCATGTTGTGGTCTGATTTGTTCACGGCCTTTTCCTTTATCACGACTCTTGTCAGGTAAGTAAGTAAGTAATGTTTATTTATATAGCACAAATTGTTTACAGACCAAGGTCCCCCAAAGCACTTTACAATTTTTGTGATTTTTTTCCCGTTCTCTCTCCACACGGTGATGACGGAAGCAAGACGCCGAACCCACTGACACATCATTGCATCAGTGCCATCCATTCACTCACATTTTTACAATCATACCTATTGTACATGTTTTTAGTGGTAGCGGAAACCGGAGCACCCGGAGGAAACCTGCGCATACATGAACAAAGCATGCAAACTCCACACAGAAAGGGCTGGAGGTGGCATGAAACCTATAGGACCTCAAAAGCAGCCCCAAAATGAGATGAAAAAAAACACTCGGAGGCTGGTTTGGTTGTATATCTTCATTTCTCATGACAACAACAGTCTCTCAGTGAGGTAGGCTAAAACACAGCAAGAAAAACACTGGATCCAAAACGTGACACAAATACTGTCAGTGATGAGGTAGAAATGGTCACACCGAACGCCCGTATCAAACCTACAAAGAACGGCTCCAAACAGAATAACACTGCTGCGAAAATACCATTGGATCCGACCGTAATCGTGGTCTGGCTTTGGAGAAGAGCTTTCAAAGTGTTGCTAAGCGCTACAGAGGAATTGCGTTGCTAAAACACGGGCAATTGTGCTGGCAAATTCACATGTTGATAACAAGGAGAACGACGATGCGATGAAAAGAGATTCAGATTTTGCGAATAGTCCGTTGATTCTCACACGGAAGCCTTCGAAAAAATCCCTTATAAAAAAATACACATTGGCTTTTCTCATTATCTGTAGAACGATACTGGATAGAACGGCTGTTGTGTGGTCTGAATATAGATGCGATCAATATGAATTCGAAGCTAAAAGTAAATGCATGTGAAGGATGTGCCTTTCCCAAAAAAAGAAACAAAAACACACACACGACTACCGCTATTTTAAGACATATTTTGTTTGTTTTGATATGTTCTGGAGTGCTTCTTGCTTCCCCTCCCCCACACTGGTAACTAAAGACTAAACACGTAATATATATCGTTCATTTCTCCAACAAAAGACTAGAGCATCTATTCACAAGAAAATATGGTTCCTTTATCTAAAAACCTCATGGATGCACACTACGGCATGAATTATCCATTTTTAAAAAAAGAAAAGAAGAGAAAAAATGACAATATTTGCAATACATTCAACGTTTGATTCCCCGCGGAGAACAGCAGCGTTTGGGTGGAGGCGAGCGGCTCTCAATCGGGGGTTCAGGGTCATATTTGTAGTGCTGGTGTAGTCTCTAGTTTGGCTCCTAGTTTTGGAGAAAGTTAGTCCAAGTTCAGCCCCGGTTTATCAATGGTTTAGCCCTGGTTTAGTCCTGGTTTAGCCCTGGTTTAGCCCTGGTTTAGCCCTGGTTTAGCCCTGGTTTAGTCCTGGTTTGTAGTTCTGGTATAGTCCCTAGTTTTCCTCATATTGATGAACAAGTTAGTCCTGGTTTAGCCCTGGTTTAGTCCTGGTTCAGCTCTGGATTAGTCTTACCTCAGCCCTGGCTTAGTCCTGGTTCAACTCTGGCTTAGTCCTGGTTCAGATCTGGATTAGTCCTGGCTCAGACCTGGTTTAGTCCCGGTTTAGCCCCGACTTAGTCCTGGTTCAACTCTGGCTTAGTCCTGGTTCAGATCTGGATTAGTCCTGGCTCAGACCTGGTTTAGTCCCAGTTTAGCCCTGGTTTAGTCCTGGTTCAGCCCTGGTTCAGCCCTGGCTTAGTCCTGGTTCAGCCCTGGTTCAGTCCTGGTTCAGCCCTGGTTCAGTCCTGGTTCAGCCCTGGCTTAGTCCTGGTTCAGCCCTGGTTCAGCCCTGGCTTAGTCCTGGTTCAGCCCTGGTTCAGTCCTGGTTCAGCCCTGGTTCAGTCCTGGTTCAGCCCTGGCTTAGTCCTGGTTCAGCCCTGGTTCAGCCCTGGCCCCTGCCTGGGTTTAGCAGCGATAAAGTCTGCTTCCAGTCTGTAAATTTGTGGTTCATTGCTTGCATTGTAGGACTTTTTTTTTTTCGATTATACTTTCCTTGTTCACACTTGGTCTAATTGAAGTGAACTATGCTGTAAAAACAGTTGGAAAGAGAATTTGATTATTATTGAGACAAGACGAGCAGATCTATATAAGAGCACAGGAAACCGCTACGCTCACCACAGACATGTACAAATTTGGGCTTTTGTCATGATTTATGCAGTCTGCATGAGTTTTGTTGTTTTGTAATCAATACATGAAGCCAAATAATTCGCCAGCGGCTGCTTTAGTCCTGCTTCAGTCCTGGTTCAGACCTGCTTCGGGCCTGCTTCAGTCCTGGTTCAGGCCTGCTTCAGTCCTGGTTCAGACCTGCTTCGGGCCTGCTTCAGTCCTGGTTCAGGCCTGCTTCAGTCCTGGTTCAGACCTGCTTCGGGCCTGCTTTAGTCCTGGTTCACCCGTGGCTTTCAAAGGCTGTGTGTAAATTTCCCTGAAGTCTTTGAGGGTTTGATTCCTCTTTGTTCGGCCCTAAAGCTCCCGAAAAACCTCCGCCACAAAGCGACATCATACATTCGATTTTTTTTTTCATTCTGAGGTAACAAAATTCTTCCTGAGTATTCATTAAAACGACAACAAATCAACATTTTTTTTTCAGAGGGAAATCAATGCATATACTTAGAATAAAAGCAAGCGATAAATCGGACGAGCTGCTTCTGTAGTGGGTCTGAAATCTGGACACCAAAAAATCTGTTCAATCTGTTAAAAAATCTTAAAAAGCTATCGATTATGTTTCCATAGTGGGCTTCTGCTTGGTGTAAAAAGATAAAACATATTGTGAGCTAAAAAGAGTTTTGTATGCATAAGTTCAGAGGTAGGTGTGTTTATGGTTCAAAATCAGAAAGAAATGCACAGTGTAACTATTTATATTGTATTGCCCTGCTAACGAGTTTGAAAACAGAGCATTTGGGCAGAAGAGGCCGGGGAGGTGTTTTTGGGTCAGTTTCAATGAAGCCAACAATAGCTCTCTGTTAAAATCTTATAGAATCTTATATTTTATGGAATTTGCAATGGGACAGTCGCGAAATGCCCAAATAAGGTCGTTCCAATCTCTACTTCCTTTTTGGACTAATATGAACCATAACCTGCTTTTTAATACTGGTTCAGTTCTACTTTGGTCCTGGTTCAGTCCTGCTTTAGTCCAAGTTCAGACCAGATCCTTTTCTAATATTAAACGTATTCTGTCCCATTTTTGGTTGTCAGCCTATTGAAAGATCCAAACAGTGTTGTATAATCTGTGAGGAGGCTCTGAAGTTATTTATATGGATTTGTTTTCTCTTGTTCGTCTAATATATAATAGATACACGTTACATGGTGCATTTCTAAGTCTGGATATAGTTAGATTGACCTTGGTGAAGCTCAACCTACTCCATTTGACACAATCTTGATGCACAAAGTTACACAATTCTCAAAGAAACTGAATAAATGAGGTAGAATTCTGGAAACACGAGTTCAGCATTGAGGTAAAGTGTTGCTTGTGCTGTGTCCCTCCGTTCGTTGCCTTTGCTTCCACAATGTTTTTGGTCAGAAGTGATTTTTGTTGCATTTCTGTCGTTGGCCTCGTCTCCTGTTGGCCACTATTTCACAGCTGAACGATACTGTCACGGCGAGTCGTGACGTCATCGAGAGCTCAGAGTTTCACACCGAGCTGGAGGGCAGGTCCGAATGGGTCATCAAACCAAATCTGTCTAAATACTGAGGTTTTTGGGTGATATTTGTTCAGTTGTGCATTTAAATTTGACAGATCTTGAACCATAGACTGTACACAGATGGACAATGCTAACCCGCTAGCTCATTGAAGCCTAATAGGGAAGTGCTCATGGACAAAGTTTTTCTCCACTCTCGCTCTGGCTCTAATTAAATTACATTGAAAATAAAACTCCTCTAGCTCAGTAACCGTTTCTGTCACACTTTGGGCTCTCTGGGATTCTGGTGTTTATATTGTGATATTGTCTTTGTAAATCCAGATATGAGCCATATAAGGATTGACCAATCAGATGCCTTGATTCACAGGGGAAACTCTAGCTTTCCTTAGCAACTGTCATTGCAACACGTCTGCCTCTGTTACAAAATGTAGCAAAATAAATTCAAATCAAAAAGCTGTATTGTGTCTTTTTTAATCCAAATATGTGCCCTAACAACTGACCAATCGGAAGCCTTCTGTTGTCAAATTCTTCTTTAGCGACTTTAGACTCTAGCTAGCTCTAATCGGTCCCTTTTGCATTAAGGTTAACATTATGGTGACAGTGGTGACCCTTCTGTACAGTCTATGGTCCAAACTTTGCGAGACCTCAGCTCCTGCCCTCCATTTGAAATCAAGATATCAGATTGAGGAAAGCCATGAAACCGGAAATAAATACTCCGTTAAGACATTCCGACTTCCTGAAACTATGTCGAACGATCGTGGAAAAACACATTCTCTTTGGAACACTGGAATAATGACAAATTGCAGTACGTTTTTCCCTCGTCGCTTGCTACTAAAATCGAATACATACATAGTACATTTTGTTCTGTCACTTTCATTGGTGCTGCTGACACAACCTGAGGTAAGTTTCCCGTCGCCACTGGACTTAGCGCCCTCCGCTGGTGTCTTGGGGCGTTGCGTGCGTGGCGGGGATCTTCATTGGCATTCGCTGTGATGGAAAGCTGTGTTCCCCCGAGGCGCTGTCCCCAGCCAGGCCGGAGGGAGGGCTGTAGTCCCCACCGGCGCCATAAGGGGGAGTCATCACAGTCTTCGCCGCGTCAAAGCCGTTTCCTTTGCTGTGGCCGTTTCCGAACTTTCGGTATCTCGCAGTGTCCCCGTCCGCTCCTCCCTCCTGTGTGGGATGGGAAATACACAATATTACAGTTTTGGCATTTTTAGAAGCAAAATTGAGATCACATACATTTTTCCGGCCCCCACAGGTAAAATAAAATGAGTTTGGCGCTCCTGAATTAGACAGAAGGGACGGGGGTACTGTATGTGCCAGAAGTTTCTGATAGAGCTCCAGGTTTTTGAAAACAATAGATACGTTTTTCTGTGTCCTGACCAGTGGGGGCGGGTCCCAGCTCAAAAGTGGCCAAAATGACGTGCGCTGACATGCTTGCAATACCACCCCGGGCCGATGGGGGTGGACCCAGAAGAAGAATTAGCCAATGCTAACACATAGCGTTGGCAGACCTCTCGAAAACGTCTTTACAGGATGGTCCTAAAGTTGGCTCTTTGCCCAAAGCTCCGTTCCACATGTGTGTCAATGCTGAGGGGGGTGAATTTTTTTGGTCCACTCTAGTTTACTCGCGCACGTGCAGAGAGGGTGCCCATGGGTGGGACAGCTATAACCTAGTATTACCCTATCCAATTATTATTATTATAGATCCATGTCCTGACTGTGAGCAGCTCGACAAAAGATTAATCTTTTTAATTTCTGGCGAACAGTGCAAGAGTTGGAGCCCTGCGCTAAGTATGATCCTGTAGTCAACATGATTTGATAATCTATAAAGATCAAACTATAACCATTAGTTGCAGTTCCCACAAACCCATCTCTTCTGTTTGTTATTTAACTCTTCCCTTCCTACAGCAGTGGGACCTTACCTCCTGGCTCTCGGACATCTCGAAGGCCTTGCGTTTGAGCGTGTCGGGGCCCGACAGGCCGTAGCTGTAGCCCTGGGGCCTTGGGGCCAGCGGAGAAGACACGCTGATGCCCGCGGGCAGGTAAGAGGCACTGGGGTGGCTGTAGCTGCTGGACAGCCCCGATTGGGGGTAGCAGCCGGGGGGGTAGTTGTAGACCGGAGCACTGGCTGGATAAGGCTGGAGCGAGTGCAGACCCGGGGCTGGGGGCTGGGGGCAGTACCCGGGTGGCAGGTAGGTGGCGCTGTTGTAGGCTGCTGTGTATTCCTGAGCGGACGGAGCTGTGCACGAGGCTGCGGCTGCTCCCAGGGCTGCAAGACATAAGACCACAGTGTGAGCTCGGGTTGGTGAAGTACAGAGTTTCACTGATGCTAAAGCTAATGTTGAAACATGGTGGTGAGCACAATCATGACAATGGTCATTTATGCGAAACATTATGCGAACTCATTTTCCCCAAAAAATATAATTGTGTTTTGTTTGTTTGGCCCCGACACTCACCGACCCTACACCCCTCTCCTGCTTCACATTTACATGTTCCCTCCTCCAGGTGCATTTCCATCACACACTTCCATCTTTTGAACTGTGTCGAATGTAAACAGTTTTTCAAGTCTTCTGTGAGTCCACTCCACACACTCTTACACAAATACACACACACTTTTACGGTGTTCTGATTTGTAGAGGTTGTAATCTATGAACTCTTCTCAGATTAAATTGAAGATGAGTGTCTCTATCATGAAACAGATTTTGAATATTTACTGGTCGGTTTTTTTGATAGCTTTAACATGATGTGTGTAGTTTTATAATCAAGTCCAAGTCCTCTTATTTTAAATCACTTTTTTCAAATACTTTTAGATGATCCCACTCCCACCCAGTCTCTCTGGGGCAAAAATTACCAATCCAAAATCCTCTTTTCCTTCTATTGCGGTGCAAACTATGACTGAATTACTATTGAGTTCAATTATTCAACTGATGTACAATGTTTGACAACTGACTGTTTGGTTTAAGAGTACGGTTATTTAAATTTTTTTCATACTGGATTGTGTCTTCGGAAACCAGCATTCAGAATAAACACAAACATCGATAATGCGCCTCATAATCCAGTGGGTCTAAAGGTGTGAAAGATACAATAAATGTAATTCTGAATTCGCCTCCATCCCATGTTTAAAAAATGTGTGTTCTCGAAAAGGACACGAAATGTGTATTCTCTGAATTCTCACTGTGCGGTATTGCTTTAACTGTCATCTTTGCTCATTTCTCACCAGATACATACACTTATCACATACACTACACTCACACTCACACAGACATGACACCCACCTAATGAGTATGCACACACACACACACACATACACACGTGCACACACACACACACACACACACACATACACACGTACAGTGCCTTGCGAAAGTATCCGGCCCCCTTGAACCTTTCAATATTTCGCTACATTTCAGGCTTCAAACATAAAGATATAAAAATACATTTTTTTGTCAAGAATCAACAACAAGTGGGACACAATCGTGAAGTGGAACGAAATGTATTGGATAATTTGAACTTTTTTAACAAATAAAAAACTGAAAAGTGGGGCGTGCAATATTATTCGGCCCCCTTGCGCTAATACTTTGTAGCGCCACCTTTTGCTGCAGTTACAGCTGCAAGTCGCTTGGGGTATGTCTCTATCAGTTTTACACATCGAGAGACTGGAATTCTTCCCCATTCATCCTTGCAAAACAGCTCGAGCTCAGTGAGGTTGGATGGAGAGCGTTTGTGAACAGCAGTCTTCAGCTCTTTCCACAGATTCTCGATTGGATTCAGGTCTGGACTTTGACTTGGCCATTCTAACACCTGGATACGTCTATTTGTGAACCATTCCATTGTAGATTTGGCTTTATGTTTTGGATCATTGTCCTGTTGGAAGATAAATCTCCGTCCCAGTCTCAGGTCTTTTGCAGACTCCAACAGGTTTTCTTCCAGAATGGTCCTGTATTTGGCTCCATCCCTCTTCCCATCAATTTTAGCCATCTTCCCTGTCCCTGCTGAAGAAAAGCAGGCCCAAAGCATGATGCTGCCACCACCATGTTTGACAGTGGGGATGGTGTGTTCAGGGTGATAAGCTGTGTTGCTTTTACGCCAAACATATCGTTTTGCATTGTGGCCAAAAAGTTTGATTTTGGTTTCATCTGACCAGAGCACCTTCTTCCACATGTTTGGTGTGTCTCCCAGGTGGCTTGTGGCAAACTTTAAACAAGACTTTTTATGGATATCTTTGAGAAATGGCTTTCTTCTTGCCACTCTTCCATAAAGGCCAGATTTGTGCAGTGCACGACTGATTGTTGTCCTATGGACAGACTCTTCCACCTCAGCTGTAGTTATCTGCAGTTCATCCAGAGTGATCATGGGCCTCTTGGCTGCATCTCTGGTCAGTCTTCTCCTTGTTTGAGATGAAAGTTTGGAGGGACGGCCGGGTCTTGGTATATTTGCAGTGGTCTGATACTCCTTCCATTTCAATATAATTGCTTGCACAGTGCTCCTTGAGATGTTTAAAGCTTGGGAAATCTTTTTGTATCCAAACTTCTCCACAACAGTATCTCGGACCTGCCTGGTGTGTTCCTTTGTCTTCATGGTTCTCTCTGCGCTTTAAACAGAACCCTGAGACTATCAAAGAGCAGGTGCATTTATACGGAGACTTGATTACACACAGGTGCATTCTATTTATCATCATCAGTCATTTAGGACAACATTGGATCATTCAAAGATCCTCACTGAACTTGGCGGCACGGTGGCTGAGTGGATAGCACTCTCGCCTCTCAGCAAGAAGGTCCTGGGTTCGAATCCCGGCCGGAGTGGAGTTTGCATGTTCTCCCCGTGTCTGCGTAGGTTTACTCCGGGAACTCCGGTTTCCCCTACCACTAAAAATATGTACAATAGGTCTGGCATGCGCCTCCTGTTCGGCGACCCCGCTCCCATCTCTGTGTGGAGTGAGAGGATAAGTGCCCAAAAAATAACAATTGTAAACCGCTTTGTGACTCTGGTCTGTGAAAGGCGGTATATAAATAAAGATTACTTACTTACTTACTTCTGAAGTGAGTTTGCTGCACTGAAAGTAAAGGGGCCGAATAATATTGCACGCCCCACTTTTCAGTTTTTTATTTGTTAAAAAAGTTGAGATTATTCAATAAATTTCATTCCACTTCACGATTGTGTCCCACTTGTTGCTGATTCATGACAAAAATTATTTTTTTTATATCTTTATGTTTGAATCCTGAAATGTGGCAAAATGTTGAAAGGTTCAATACTTGCGAAAATACTTTCGCAAGGCACTGTATACACACGCGCACACACCCGCACGCACACACCTCAATGTTCCCTTTTGTTTGCTTTGCTCTTAAACGCTGGCTTGATTGACACGGCTGCGGGGAGTTGATTAAGACAGGCTGAGTAAGGCGTGGTCAAGCCTGGTGTGATAACGTAGGTAGTCTACCATACTGAACTTCCGCTTAAGCTCCATTTCAACCTGGAGAGACTACAAGAGACGAGATGCGTTTAAGAGTTGTTTATTTTATGGATTGAGTTTGTTTATTGGTTTGGAGCTTAGGCCCCGGCTGTGGCGGTGCTCTGGAGAGATCTGCGCCTGGGTGCAGATCATGATCCCCAAAAAGAGAGCTTGGCTAGCGATGCGTTTGCCATGACTTGGTTGCTGCGTTTATGGAAGGCGCATGGTGTGAGTGACTGTTTCCGTGCGCGAGCTCGGCTCTGGCGCTAGGCGTTGGCACGCGCACGAGCTCGGCTCAAGTGCGCGGCGTAATGCCCGGGCGCGAGCTCGGCTCTAGCGCTAGGCGTTGGCACGCGCACGAGCTCGGCTCAAGTGCGCGGCGTAATGTCCGTGCGCGAGCTCGGCTCTAGCGCTAGGCGTTGGCACGCGCTCGGCGTAATGTCCGTGCGCGAGCTCGGCTCTAGCGCTAGCACGCGCACGAGCTCGGCTCAAGTGCGCGGCGTAATGTCCGTGCGCGAGCTCGGCTCTAGCGCTAGGCGTTGGCACGCGCACAAGCTCGGCTCGAGTGCGCGGCATGCTGGAAATGAGGAGTTGCCACCACCAGGAGATGCATACGTACTTATATGAGAGGAGGCGCTGGGCTGCCAGAACGGATGAATGTGGTAGAGAACCGGGGACCGAGGTCCTGGAGAGATGATTGAGGGAGTCCCAGGGCAGCAGCCCAAGTGGCTGCTCCTATCCGGAAGGAGTGGCGGATGTAGAGAAAGGAAGAGAGGTTACATGCAGGGAGCAGAGGTTTTGAATTTGTTCAGACCAGGGGGTCGTCGAGGGATTGTTTAAGGAGTAATTATAGTCTATGAATGTTGATAAAATGTCCATAGATGTTGTAGAATGTTAAAGTATCCTGGATCATCACCACGGGCCTTCTAGTTGGACACTAACTGTCCAGACCCTCCTGCATGGCGAGGAAAACTCACAAAACCCCGTGGGGAAAAAAGTGAGAAACCTTCGGAAGACCCTACATAGAGAGAGGGAATCCACTCCACGGACAGACAGGCTAGTCGTCCAGGACCTAAACTACAGAACAAGGACCATTGCCAATACTCCTTTAAGGATCTTCTTATGAGGGTGGAGCAGTGTGACTCGAAGTGGATTTTAGAGAATGTATTTAATGCCGATGTAGATGAGGCAGTGACGGCAGTACCCGCGATGCTGATGTCCAGAGACTGAGAGTGTGCAGTGAGAGGGAAAGGAGAATGCTGAATGAAGGTTGAACTGCTGGTGTTTAGAGCGCTGATATTCGAACATGATTCCACTTGGGGAGACTAGAAGGTGAAAATGAGATTCATGAAGTACACTTACCCAGGAAGATTGATGTTCGATAGGAGATCTCTGGACCCCCAAAAACCAACGCACGAGGGCCCGGTCAGAATGAGGGCCAGGGTGCGTCAGGTAAGGCGAAGCGTGAGACAGGCCCGGCGGCAGGAGCCGCACCAGGAGACCAGGAGAGAATATGCCTGGGGAACATGAGAAGGAGCATCGCCTACAGCCACTCAGAGTGCACGCAAACCGTGGCGGGCAGTGCTGCACACCAAAAGCCAATGAGTGCGGCCTGGGGAAGAGAGTCGGCCAGGTTTGAAGGCCACGCCGAACAGTACTCATGCAGTCTTAGCGGGCCAGCGTTGCAGCAGGCCACCGTCGCGGCGTTGTAGCAGAGCTTTGGTGCGGCGTTGCGGCATCGCGTTCCTGCAAAGCTGAAAAGAGAAACCTCGAACCACTATCACTCGAGTGAAAAGGACCAACGGGCAGTGTCAGACCGCGTCTTCAGTCAGACCACGTCTTCAGTCAGACCACGTCTTCAGTCAGACCACGTCTTCAGTCAGACCACTGACCTGATCCTTCGATGCCGGCTCTTCCCGTCATTGTGAAGCAGAACTCTCCTAGCGTTGGATTGTTCACCCACCAATAGGGAACGCGAGTCCAAGGTCGACACTGGTTCCACGATGAATGGATGAGAGCACACGAATGCGTCGAAGCATGAGGTCGAGAATGCGGCAGGAGGCGGACACCGACGTGGAAGCGTGTGCGCCGACCGACGTACGGCGATGAAGCGTGCGGCCACCGACGTGTGCTGCGATGAAGCGTGCTGCGTCAAAGCGTGCGGCGTCGTTGAAGCGTGTTGCGTCAAAGCGTGCGGCGTCGTTGAAGCGTGCTGCGTCAAAGCGTGCTGCGTCAAAGCGTGCGGCGTCGTTGAAGCGTGCTGCCTCAAGGCGTGCTGCCTCAAGGCGTGCTGCCTCAAGGCGTGCGCCGTCGTTGAAGCGTGCGCCGTCGTTGAAGCGTGCTGCATCAAGGCGTGCAGCGTCGTTGAGGCGTCAAGGCGTGCGGCGTCCAAGCGAGCGGCGTCCAAGCGAGCGGCGTCCAAGCGAGCGGCGTCCAAGCGAGCGGCGTCCAAGCGAGCGGCGTCGTTGATGCATGCGGCTGCGTCAAGGCGTGCGTCGGCGTCAAGGCGTGCGGCGTCAAGGCGTGCGGCGTCCAAGCGAGCTGCGTTGTTGATGCGTGCGCCATCGTTGATGCGTGCTGCGTCAAAGCGTGCTGCGTCAAAGCGTGCGCCATCGTTGAAGCGTGCTGCGTCAAAGCGTGCTGCGTCAAAGCGTGCTGCGGCGTAGCGTGCGGCGTTGTTGAGGCGTCAAGGCGTGCCGCGTCAAGGCGTGCGCCGCCCAAGCGAGCGCCTTCGTTGATGCGTGCGCCTTCGTTGATGCGTGCGCCTTCGTTGATGCGTGCGCCGTCGTCGATGCGTGCGCCGTCGTCGATGCGTGCGCCGATGCATGCGCCGTCGTCGATGCGTGCGCCGGAGTCGATGCGTGCGCCGGAGTCGATGCGTGCGCCGGAGTCGATGCGTGCGCCGGAGTCGATGCGTGCGCCGGAGTCGATGCGTGCGCCGGAGTCGATGCGTGCGCCGGAGTCGATGCGTGCGCCGGAGTCAATGCGTGCGCCGGAGTCGATGCGTGGAGGAGGAGTCGAAGCGTGGAGGAGGAGTCGAAGCGTGGAGTCGTCGTCGAAGCGTCGTCGAAGCGTGCGGCCACCGAAGTGGCGTCGTCGAAACGTGCGGCCACCGAAGTGGCGTCGGCGAAGCGTGTGGGCGTTGAAGTGTGCGGCCGCCGACGTGTGCTGCGATGAAGCGTTGAAGTGAGGCCGTTGAAGCATGCCTGAAGGCCAACGCACTGGTTAAAACGAACAGTACAGAGGGGCTCGGCCGCGCTCCGACCAATCAGAGCAGCTCATCAGACACGGACAGCCGGGAGGCAATGCAGTGGGCAAAACTTACAGTCCACGGTCAAATAGACAGCGCAAAGGCCAATGCAGACGACAAATGTTATAGTCCATGGTTACAACTGACAGCCTGAAGGTCAATGCAGTGGGTAAAATGTTCAGACCATAGTCAAACTGACAGCCTGGAGGTCACTGCATTGTGTAGAATGTTCATCCCATGAGTAAAACGGACAGCCAGAAGGCCAATACAGTGGTTAAAATGTGCGGTCCATGGTGAAAACGGACGGTCTAAATGCCAATGCAGATGGTAAAACGAACAGCCTGCAGAGCAATGCATCGGGTAAAAACACAGCCTGCGAGCCAATTCGGCGGGATTAACTGACACGCCGCAGTTCAGTACAGTTAATGGTAGAGCGGAAAACAACAAAACCGACACTGTACCGTGAGTGGAGGCAGGGAGAAGGGTGGACAGAGGCAGCAGACAACGGCAGGCAGACAGAAGTCCCGTTCCCGGTATGGAAGCGGCAGGGTGCGCGGAACCTGGCCGCGAGCAGCAGCGGCCACGGGGAGACGAGCTGCAGCGAGTCCGCAGGAGAGGACCCGCGGTGGAGACACAGCGACCATGGCGCGCAGCCCCCAACATGTGATGTTGAAGAGGAGCCGCGACCATGCAGGACGAACAATGTGCGAGGCGTGAGTAAACAAAGTGACGAAGAGCAACCCATTGCAGCTTGAAGTCCGTTTGGTGAGCTGTGCTCTGCTTTGCTCTTAAACGCTGGCTTGATTGACACGGCTGCGGGGAGTTGATTAAGACAGGCTGAGTAAGGCGTGGTCAAGCCTGGTGTGATAACGTAGGTAGTCTACCATACTGAACCTCCGCTTAAGCTCCATTTGTGATTTAGAGCTGTACAAAAATACATTGAATTGAACTATTTCATGGACAATACTTTTGTTTTATTAGTCAGTGTGATGTCATAGTGTTAATGACATCACACTTTAACAGGACTGAGACAGAAGCTTTTCGACAAAAGTGGCGGAGTTACATAATTGCACAAGTTGTTCCTGATGTTAGCGTGGATGGATCTAAAAGCAACTCCAGGACTGGGAGAGAAAGGGTCCATTTTGCATAATATGGCACGTATACGACAAAAAAACCACAGAACAAAGCTACATAGTTTAAAGCAGATATTTCACAAACTTTGGTCTTTTTCTCGACAAAGTGTGACTATTTTGTAGCGTTTGTGTGCTTCAAAAGTAGCGCTGTTTTAACAGCGTGATGAATTGAAAACAAAGCCAAGTAAAGGGGAGGCTTGCAAGGAGAGAGAGGATTATTGAAACAAGCTTGAATCCGTCCACACACCGACTCCAGCAGAGAAAATATTGATGATTCTTTAACGCATTCATTCATACTTCCAATTATAATCCATTAGACTCTTGTAGCCTGATGTAATGGCAGACAAAGCCTCTCTTCTGTCAAAGGGAAGCTAAAAACGCTGGGAGTTGTGTGAAATTCCTCAGCGCGGAGCCGGGAGACAGCGCTGCTAAACACATTAACATTTCTGCCTTTTGACTGAACTGCCCCAGGACCAGCTGCTCCCCTGTCTTTGTGCTCCTCTTTGAGATCGGCACCGGAGTAAAACAACAACAATATGCAGACCAACAAAACCAGAGAGCTCGCAATAAAAGTAATGGTCTGGAATCTCTGAAAATCCATGTTTTTGAGAGCTTGTTTGAACCATAGACTGTATATTTGGAGTGGACGTCACCATGGTGTTAGCCTAAATGTGGAAGGGGCTGGTTTGAACATAAGCTAGCTGGAGCCAATTTCCTTATATGGACATTTGTTCAGACGGCATTAGCTTCACGCCATAACAGCTAAGAGAGTCGCTAAGGCAAGCAGGAGTTTCCCTCGAAAATAAAGGCATCTAATATGTCAATACTCTTATAGCTCATATCTGGATTATTAGACAACATCACAATTTTTAGCCCAAAATGGATCACTTCCCTATTGGGCTTCATTGGGAAAGCAGGTTAGCATTGTCCATTTGTGAAAAGTCTTGGTTTTAATCTAGGGATAAGTGTTTTCTCTGCTCATGATTTGGTTCCTAGTTTAGCATTTTAGCATTTATTCTTTTACTCAACTCACAGAGAAAGCATAATTGCTTATTGGGAACCAAAATAAATAACCAGAAGTTTTGTTGTCTCCTGTCTCTCTGATCTCTCCGCATAGAGACAGCGTGGTGTGGAGACTTACTGTAAGGGGCCAGAGGACTGAGCATTCTGCAGGCCTGGTCCCAGTGGAAGAGGGAGGACCGGCTCCGCTCACTGGATCTGAGGGGCTGCGCTCATGCTGCTCTCCCCCAGGCCGAAGCTTCTCTGTGTGGACTGTCCAGGCTCACAGTCCGGGCTCCTGCTCTGCTCCATGGCTCATGTCCGACACTGACCCACGCGACCACCGCTGCACACAAGAGAAACAGAGGGAAGAAATACATGAGAGAAAAACATTCAAGCAAGCAACATACATGCGAGCTGAAGATCAGGCGTACGGCTGAGAAGTTAGGGAGGACCTGCTTGTCCTTTTCTTATTTTTTTTCTCTGGTCAAACTTGTCGTGCATTTTAAAACAAGATTTGCGACAAGCAGATGTAGTTTCTTCATTTCTTGCACTCTCTCTGGTCTCTTCCTCTGGTCTCTCTCTCTGGTCTCTCTCTCTGGTCTCTCTCTCTGGTCTCTCTCTCTGGTCTCTCTCTCTGGTCTCTCTCTCTGGTCTCTCTCTCTGGTCTCTCTCTCTGGTCTCTCTCTCTGGTCTCTCTCTCTGGTCTCTCTCTCTGGTCTCTCTCTCTGGTCTCTCTCTCTGGTCTCTCTCTCTGGTCTCTCTCTCTGGTCTCTCTCTCTGGTCTCTCTCTCTGGTCTCTCTCTCTGGTCTCTCTCTCTGGTCTCTCTCTCTGGTATCTCTCTCTGGTATCTCTCTCTGGTATCTCTCTCTGGTATCTCTCTCTGGTATCTCTCTCTGGTATCTCTCTCTGGTATCTCTCTCTGGTATCTCTCTCTGGTCTCTCTCTGGTCGCTCTTTGGTCTCTCTCTGGTCTCTCTCTGGTCTCTCTCTGGTCTCTATCTCTGACTCTGGTTTGACCAAATCAAATTAAAAACAAATTTGTAGAACAATATTTCTATTCTTGAAAAGAACCGAGTTACATAGCAGCAATAGATCAATGTCCTTCAAAGCGCTAAGCTTTAATTCAAAACACTGTAATGTTACTTTAACTACAAAGATAATCTTTGTTTCCTCTAATAATTATGTGAATATGCACGTACAATAAATCTGCAAAGGGAGTGACTTTGATTGTAACTACCTAGTAATTATTACTAATCACACTTCAAAAGACTTTCAATACATCAAAATGGGGTCAGAGGCCATTGAAAGAAAAATAACCAACACAAATAATTCAACCTCGGCTTTGAGGCCTGTATTTCTCCACTCCTTTTAATGCACTGTGATATTTCATTTTCATTTTTTTATTTATTTCATTCATTTAAGAACAAATGCAACAACAGCATTTACTATGAATGAAAAGGAGCAGAAAGAAGTAAAAACTTATAATATCTGCCCCCTATCAACACAAAATCTTTTACAGTTCCATTGCGTTTGAGCCTCTAATGCAACTCTGGCAATTCCAAACTCAAAACTCAAAGCTCAAAACACAAAATAAAGGTTACTGATCCACAGTGATGTATTTCTGCAACATCAATAATTTTACAGACTTTTTAAACACAAAATCGGACGAAGAAGTTGAAGAAGGTGACATGTCTGGGATCGCGTCTTACATTCAGACAGAAGACATGTTTTATTGTCAATGGTAGAGACAGCACGAACAAAGCACACGAGCACAGATACAACAGAATGCAAGTGTATTATACAGAGCAGAGGCATGGAGACCTCCAATCAGCAGCTTCCACGGTGTGCTTGTAGCTTGGCCTTCAGATAGAAAAGTACTGGCTTCTGCACATTGATAGAATGATGAGTTTAACCTTAACAAAACTTGCTTCAAAGTGTTATGAAATCTCATATTCCCCCCTCTGGTCATACATTCACGTGTGACCATCAGGATCGATAAACAGCAACATAACATCATTCCTCAATACTTCAAAAACTCATAAACTCGGTACTTCAAAAAACTCAGAACTCAGAATACTTCAAAAACTCAGAAAACTCATAAAACATTTTCAGATCTTTCATAAAACTTGTCAACAATCTTCAGTAAAATACCAAACTTCATCAGTCGATGGTGGTTCCAGATATTGCTTTGAAAACAGTCTCTCCCACTTCTCCGTGTTGGTTTCTTCAGGCTGCATTTATCGTGTCGAGCCATGAATTCTTCTGTGACGTGTCTTTCAATCACACGTTTCAGCTTCAGTGTCCAGATTTAGCAAATCAATTCAGTCCAAATTATGTCCAAATTCAGAAATCCAATTGTTCCAAATTATGTCCATGCAAAAGAGGACGCTGGTGTTGTCCATGTCTCAGCAGCTCACAGCCTGAGTGGAATCAGGGGCTGTGCAGATTGTCCATGTGCTGGTCCAGATGCATGGTTTCTCTTGAGGTTTCTCAGTTTTGGCTTGAAAAAAAAAAACACATTTTTGTGTAAAAAAAAAAAAGTAGTCTTCTGTTCTCTAGATGTTACAGACAATGCCCGCATCCTTCCACCACCTGAAGAAGGTGACATGTCTGGGATCGCGTCTTACATTCAGACAGAAGACATGTTTTATTGTCAATGGTAGAGACAGCACGAACAAAGCACACGATCACAGATACAACAGAATGCAAGTGTATTATACAGAGCGGAGGCATGGAGACCTCCAATCAGCAGCTTCCACGGTGTGCTTGTAGCTTGGCCTTCAGATAGACAAAACAAGGGAAAAGTACTGGCTTCTGCACATTGATAGAATGATGAGTTTAACCTTAACAAAACTTGCTTCAAAGTGTTATGAAATCTCATAAAGTTTTGATTTTACACTCGAGACTGTTCCACAGATCGACTCCTTTGATTGAGATACATTTTTCCTTTACAGAAGATAATTAAGTCAAATAAACTGGACTTGCCTTTTTGCAATGAGTTACTTCAAATGGGAGTAGGTTAATTTATTTGTAAATACTTTTTATACTTTAGTATCACTCTACTTTCTTCCTCTTTATCTGTTGCCTAGTCACAGAGGCGGTAGTCTGAGCAGAGGCCTCCCTCTGAGAGACACAGTCCTCCAGTGTGTTCTGGGTCTTCCCTGAGGCCTCCTCCCGGCAAGACAGGCCCAGGGAGGCGCACAGGAGGCATCCCAAACATAAAGCTAAAGCAGAAATTCAGCCTGGAAGACAGAAGAACTAAGCTCTTCTCAGTCGTCCCTCTCCCTCCCTCTGTTACTTCACGGCAACAGCATCTGTCAATCACACTCAGCTGCAGCGTCACACTGACAATCCTCACACAGCAGCACTCAAGCATAATATCGTACAGGAAGCTTTCATTCATGCAGCAACCCTCCTCCTCCTCATCCCCGCTTAATCGGCCGGACCAGCTTTTTCACCCTTCTCCGAGCTCCAACCAACAGGGTCTTGGCCAAGAGGGATTTAATCTCGTAAATAATCTCTTTGTAAATGTCCCCTTCTGCTATCACCATGCAGTGCTCTGCCGGGGTCTAAGCACCGAATCTTAACCCTTTCCTTGTAGAGCATGCAATAAATGTAATAGTTGGTGCCCAAAACTTTTAGTGAGAGGTCCACTTTAGTTCACCCGACTTCGCCAGGGGCCGACAGCATGGACTGTGAAATTGTTTTGACTAGATTCAGGCTGTTCTGAGCTTTAAAATGTGTTCATAGTAATTCACACTACAGCTACATATAAAAAATAAAGTTGACGACTTTCAGGCCTAAATTGTTTTTGCATGAAGTCCAAGTTTGTGATTGTTCTTTACCTGCTTCTCTTTTGAGCAGGTCCAACTGACCAATCATTTCTTTGGTTGATCACATCTTGTCTTTTTAAGTCATTACCCAAAAGTCATAAAGTGTGCTACAAAAATACAACCTCTTTATTCATTAACCTCTCTCTGGACTCTCTATCGTCTCACTCTGGTCTCGCTCAATGGTCATTCTCTGATCTCTTTCTGACCACTCTCTCTGGTCTCTCTCTGGTCTTGTTGGTCTCTCTCTAGCTTCTCTCCCTGGTCTCTCTCTGGACTCTCTCTAGTCTTGCTTTTTGGTCTTTCTCTTGTCTCTATGGTCTCTTTGGCCTCTATCTTGTCTCTGGTCTATCTCTGGCTTCCCTTTTTTGTAATAACCTATTTTTAAAGCCAAGAAACATCCTGATCAACGTGTGCACAAGGCATGAACCATAAAAACGCAAATCTACCATGATAATAACAAATCCTACATCAGAACACAGAATAACAACACAATTACAAGATTAGGGTTAACACTAACACTGACTGGAGATTCCACCCTCCCTCACATAAACACACACACAGTCAGAATTCTCCTCAGCTTGAAGTCAGATATTTGAGTGAAAACTGCAACACAAGAGAACTTTGCTCTGTTGGCCAATCACATGGGACGAAGCGACGTGGTGGAGAAACACTGCACAAAGCGACAGTGAGATAAGCCCAGGAACGTCACGAGAAAGAAGAATGTCATTTCATGTTTTGGAAATAATATATTCAGTAGAAAATATATGGTGAAACAAGTATGAAGATGCTATCGGCCTGCAATATCCCTACGCCAACACCAGAGGGAGGAGTAGAATCTGTTTTGTTTTCCGAATTTGAAAACTACCAGCTGCAAACACGGACTATTGTAAAGAATGGCATCGAGGTGGACACCCGTAACCTCCAACTGCATACTCATTACACTACATAAAAAAATTTAGATTATTATTGTACTTGGGATGGAAATGAGATCTCTTCTCTGAGCGCAACAGGTAATGTTAATATTATAAATGTCTTGATGTGTCGTCATAACCAGCGAGTGATCATCAGTACTGTTGGCGTCAGTAACTTTCTAAAACAATTATATGGTGAACTTTTGTTACTTGCTTTGTGTAGATCTGACTTAAGCAAGCATTTGTGTATTCAGCCCACTCCTTTTACATATTACACAGTTTAAACTATGACACCCCATTACACACATATTACAATATTACAGTTGGAAAATCACCTAAACTAAATTATGTGCAATAATTTTGTTTTAAAAAGGCTAAATGTGTGATGTTGTAGTGGTACAATGAATACAGGACTGGCAC